CATGCAGCACATGCCAGACTGGCCTCACATGCTGCATACAGCGCGCAGGGTGAGATCTGGCATGTGTATGCATACGGGGCCAGGAACAGGACACAGGCTGCAGACAGTGACCACACTGAACTAGTCCTGTGTGCAGGGTCTGGTGCACAGGACTAGTCTCTGGGCCAGATCAGTCCTGCAGACTGGCCCTGCACCATTCTTCCAGCTTGCAAGCAATTCCTGCTCCATTCCTCCAGTCTGCAGGGCCTGATGAGTTTGACACCCCTGAGTCTATGAAGTGCCACCTGCCCAGCTTTCTGCATCGATTTATCGTTACCATTTTAAAGTCATTGGCAACTTGGACTTAGTTAGACCCATACTTAGCTAAATCCACAAGATCTATTTTAATGGCGTTCCCCTGAGAACCTGGACGGTGGAGGTTAAAAAAATTAAATGTATTAGTTTATATTATACTCTTATTAGACTCCTATTACTACTACGGCGGACTGAATCTGTGAAAGATTTGCTTATTATTATTTGTACTACACTAACATGTAGGTGTCAGTCATGGATCATAAATCAGGGCTTTATTCTGCACAACCACGTAACAAACGGCACATCTACATGTCGCTGTGCAGCGATGTTGCTGCGGCACCATGCTTTAGTACTTCCTTTTAGAAGTACCAAAGCACAGAACAGTAATTGCCTGTACTACGCCGTGCGCGCAGCACATGGTTAGATTTTGCTGCTATGTCGCCATAGCAGCACACTAAAACAAGGAAGCATGCCACTATGGTGACGTAGCTGTCAAACACGTGTAGACTCACGTGATTGCTACACTGCCATAGCGTACCACACAGCGATGTAGCACGTTGCTATATCGCCATAGGGCAATGTGTAGACACACCCAAAGAGAAGGTCTTATTCTTGAAGACTTACCAATATAACTGCAAGCATACATCTGAATAGAGGGATTGCATGACTTCCTATTTATAATCGTGTATATTGATTTCTTCTCCTTTTAAGCACCCTATGACATTCTCATGACAATTTCAGCCACTGCCCACAAGGAAAAATAGCATCCGGAAAGCATTTAACAAATTTTAGCTACTTTTAATGCAATTTAGTAATTGGAACCAAAAAAAGAGAGACAGCATCACCTGACCAGCCAGCTCTGCATGGACCTCAGTTTAAGAATCACTAACCTAAACAACTATAAGTTTAAAAAACTCTCATATAAATGCAGCTGAAGAAGAAAGGAATGCATATACAAAGAAAACAAAGAGGCAAGCCAAGATGTGACCCCCACGTCAGAACCACAAGACCAGGCTACTAAGAAGCCTCACATCCACATATTATTGCATCTCTGATACAATCTACTATAGCCAGGTAGGTGGTGCCTATCATGCTCCTATTACTGTGGATATTCAGGGTCATGATTATGCATACTACTGCCAGGGCAGCCATTTTGTGTCGGACAACTGCAGCATCTCTGTCAATGAAATTCTTGGTCTGTGTATCCAGAAATTCAGACTGCAGGGCTTTTTAACAGAGAATCTTGTACCATGGGAAAGCTGGTTTAGAAAAATAAATAAATCTATTCTGTACTAAGCCTGCTGTTTACCTTCCTTTTGGAGGGATCAGTTTTGTTATTCTGGTAAGCGAAGGAGTTGCACTCAGCCTACTGCTGCCCGCAAGCCTTTGTTAAACTAACTATTTTGAATGAATGGTGTGTCTTTCTAAAAGACACTCAGCTAGAAAAGTCCCCAGGACCAATCTAGCACTGTAAGGTTCACAGGACTGCCTGCTTAACAGGGTTTCAACCTGAACCTGGTGGTGACTTCCTGCAAAAGCCTAGCAGGTTCCTGGCCGTGCTGGGGAGAGTACCAACAACCATGTGTCCACCTGCCCAATACTTTTCATACCAAGAATATTAGCAATATTTAAGTTTAGACAAATCTTCTTCATTGTATTTTATAATGTCTGAAGTACTCAGAAAAAGTAGTCCCAGAGTATATACAATAATGCTGTTAGTACTATCTAATCCTAAACCTTAGTCCAGGCGGAAAAGAGATCTTTTTAGGCGTGCCTTAAAATGCCACGCAATGTAGGTGTGCTGACACCTGCATGCAATTCACAGTTTAAACCCAGAGATTTCCAATAAAAATCCATAGCGTCCAAAGCATTCTGACTGCCTGTGGTCATTCAGAGTTCTCTGCAACAAGAGAATTGCTCTAGTATTTTTCCATCGTCAATAATACAATGAAAGCTAAGAAATGGCATTTTTCAAGGGGTGCCCGGAGTCTAGCAACAGGTGCCTTGAATTTGAGGTTGAGAACCACTGGTTAGAGCAAACTGTGCACTTAAAAAGAGACAGCAGGTTTGGGGCTCTCCCTCTTGCACATCAGATAATGTGGAAAGGGAAAACAGTGAAATACCTTTATCCTGTACACACTGGACTAAGTGTAAAGGGAAAAAGGTGAAATACCTTTATCCTGTATACCATTGTCTTAGCCCCCCCACACAGAAGTGACCAGGAGGAAAGAAGGCATCTCCTTCAATTGTGTTGTCTGTACCAGAGAGGCAATGGTTGGAGTGACAGAAGTACCATAACAAAGCTGGGTCTAAATGACTACCAACCCCAAGCAGTCCCACATTATGTCCAAATGCTGAATGGTGAGACCCTTCCTCATGTGCCCCTAGTAAATGGATTCACTGCAGGTAAGACACCCATAGCATCTAAGCTATCTATACTTCTGGTCACTCCCAATGAGTGTGTAAACCTATGCTTCCTTCCATAGACAACTGACTGTATGCTAGTAATTCCCAGCCCAAAGCATCTCCCCTGCCCTTTTCCTCCCATGCAACCTTTTTTCAAAAATCTAAATTAAGATTTCTTCAGATTTGGTTCCCTCTGCACAAAGAGGGAAAGCCAAGGAAGTAAAGCCAAGGCAAGAGCCACTGACATCATCTGATGAAGCGAGCTCAGGTTTACAAGCAAATAGGCCACCACAAAGGTGACCTGCTTATTGCATTTAGGTAAAATGCCATCGCTGGACAGAGTAAGACAGTTGAACCGCCTACCCAGGCACTACTGATATAAACTTCCAAGCACCAACTTGTAGTAGCAGCCTCTGTTGCCTTCCCATAACTATTTATATGCTCATTTTAAAGCTGGGCTAAGACTGTCCATTTAAAATTTGGCTCATGCAGGCAGGCACTGTTTATTCCTGTTGCTACAGCCTCAGTGATGGTGTCCAGTGTCTTAACCTTCCTCAACTTTCATTTAGCCCTTATGACATGCACTTCTCTCATGCAAAATGCTCCCACCAGTCCATCATACACCCCTAAGACAACCTTCCTTAACCTTCCTTTACCAGTAAAAGTTCCTATCTTTTTCCCTTCTGACCAGCCCTTTCCTTCCGTGGCACATGCACAGGTCATATACAGCTACATAAATTGCCCTCAAAAAGGGGCCCACCTGCACTTCACTTTGCAGACCAGAGCTCCAACTGTTTGTCAGGCTGGTTCATTTGATTTTTTTTTTTTTCATAAAACCTACACACTTCTTAAATGAACTACTGAAAGTGGCTAAAAGTGTTCCTTACTTGTGGGTTAATCCCTGCAGTGGGAGTGAAAGTGAAAAGGAGTGTCCTATACCCACAGTGATGCTCAGGTATCTGGACTCATTCCTGTTAGCTGCCAGAGACTGACTTCTGCAACCATTAGTCCTGCCCACAGGTTCATAATTTTGCTCATGTTCTCTGCCAGTCTTGCTACTTAACCCCATTCTTCCCACCATCTCCTCCCTAGACCTCCTTCACCCCTGAAGCAAAGCTTCCTCCCCCTCCCTTACCTACCACAATGTACTTCATGAATCCCACGGCATTTAAAGAGTGAAGGAAAGTGGGTAGGAGGGGGTCAGAAGCGGAGGCAGCCATTTTAGCTGATGACAGGTGGAAGCACAGCTCTGTGGGTCTTCTCACTACTGCTCCAAGTCACTGGGCGCACCTACATGAGATACTTACTCATAGTAGACTAATAACACTGTGCAGCAGTGTGCTGGGCAAAATCCACGCTAGTAAGCTACTGGGCAGTATTAGACTACTATGCAGTCAGCATCACTAAAAACCTGTGTGCCACCATTACTGTGCAGTGGCATGCATTACTGCACATTTATTTACTATTTGGTTATCCAAGTACTAAACTTAATGCGCCTTCATGAACGTGTAGATGCGCCCACTGAGAACTAGCCAAGCAGCGAGGGTGGAAAGACCCAGCTAGACAAAGCCCTGGCTGGGAAGATCTCACTGGAAAGGGCGCTGCTTTGATCAGGGGGTTGGACTACACCTCTCCACCGGGCCCTTCCAACCCTAATTTCCTATGAGCCTATGAACTGCCCCTGCCTGACTCAGAACGGCCCTTGGCCAATCAGAATCATTCGAGCTCCATAACCTGCGGGGATTGGGGAACTAACTCTGCTCGTGCAAATCAGGAGGGCCAGAACTAATGAGGTCGCAGGGATTTACCTAACGGAGAGATAAGCTACCAGTCCTGGGCTGCCCCCCGGCCCCCAGCATGGCTGTTGCCCCTTGCTCAGGCACGGGGACTCCAAGAGAGCCGGCCTGGCGTTTCTCAGCTTAAAAAGCAAGGCAGGAAGCACTGCCCACAGAGCGGACTGCCACAGGCCCTGCACCTGTCTCGTGCCAGGCTCAGCTGCAGGCCTGCGTGCTGGGATGCACAGCATGCCCTTGAAAAGCCCCCTCGGAAAGGGAGGGGACGTGCCCCTGCTTTGCTGAGGCCCTTCCCAGGGCTCGGAAGGGCAGAGAGCCAGTACCCCAAGGTCACCTTGTCCCAGTCCCCCTCCCCCCACCCGGGTCCTTTGCAGCACAGCCAGCTCCTACCACCTCCCCCTCTGGACTTCAAATGGGGGGGGGAGGGGGTTGCTCTAGCTGAGCAATGGAAATCAAAGCAAGGGGGGAAGGGAAGGGGGAAAGCATGCTTGATCCGAGTGCCCCCACCTCTGATCGGCTTTTGAGGCTGCTTCTCTTGGGTCTGAGCAGGACATCTTTAAAGTCCAGCTTGAGATCTGCGTCTACACGGGGCATCTCGCCGGAGCCGGAGCGGCCTCTCTGGCGTCTCGCTGCCGCCGATCGCCTGCTGCAGGGCGGGAGCGGCCAAAGCGCGGGCGGCCGGCGGGGAGCGGCTTTATAGGGCGCGCAGGGCCGGCAGCGGCGTCCCGGCCCTGTGGCTTTATTAGGAGGCGGCTGTTTTTAGCCCGGAGCGGAGCGCAGCGCCGCCCGCCCGCCCGCGCTATCGGCGCCGCTCAGCT